ATTTTAGTTACATAACTGCATGTTCTTCATTCTTGAACATGGAAACTGTCTAAGTTATTACTAAACATAGTTTGTCATCTCGACTCTTGAAAATTCTCAAATTCGTGATTTTTTGTGACCTGTGGATTATTTCTATTTTCGAAATTCTGTGATTTTCGTTACATAGTTTCGTGTTCTTGATTCTTGAACATGGAAATCGTCTAAGTTGTCTCTGGAATTATATGACTGTGATTTTAGTTTATTGTGATTTTACTTTGATTTTGTTGGTATTTAAATTTATAGTAGATATATTTCGTTTATTTTAAATTTATTGCCAGTAAGATATAAATATATATTGAATTAATGGCATAAAGTTAGACACTAGACAGGTAAAAAATTATATTCGAAATCGGCAGTTTAAAACCAGACCAAATCGTTAGGTTTAAGTTTGAGTTTTTTTCAAACAGATCAAAATGGTTAGGTTTAGGTTTGAGTTTTTCTCAAACCGATTGAAACGGTTTGGTTTGAACATTTGTCAAAAATCAGTAAAACCTGACCGCTTACACCCCTACAAGATTGATCCTATTTCTTAAAATTCATTTTCTTACGAACTTATTTTCAACACACGTTTCATGGAATCCATAAATTTTATCCATTTCAATCACACATTTCACCAACTTTTATCATAACCTATTAAAAATCTAAGCCATTCTTCATTGCATTTTTCCATAGTCTTGCTGTAAATTTTACTGAGCAAGACATGAAAAACTTTTTTACAATCCGATTATTTCCAAGTACGTATTGTCCGTCGCATTATCCGTCATCTCTAATGGTATCAAAAGCTTACCCTCGCTCGTATATTGAGTGAGTTGACCTAGGAAGAGATTCAGACGAACTTTCCAACAAGTGAAATAAAAGTTTACCAGTAATATTAATTTCTTAAACACGACACAGTATAACCATTACCGAGTTTAAAAGGCAAAAGTAAAGAAAAGCTTGAACTTTACCTTTTAGGGTCACATAACTTTCAAAAGCTTATTCATGAGCTCTGCTACCATTACAAAATGGGGCTTCACAGAAGCCCCACTGATCACACACATAGGGAGGGATGGGAAAATTTTGAACCAATTTTTAATCATGTGGGGACATGTGAGGGTCGGTAAGCCTTCTGTGAACAAACCCTCTGTACATATAGATTAATTCCTTATTTATTTATAAAGAATCGAGCGGCCTTATACGAAATATTTCAAAATGAACAATGGTACATAGTACATGAACCATATAATATAGAAGATACATCTGGTACTGTCAGAGGGCACTGCAAGTGCAATTTTAACACACAGAAAACAATGTTACAACACCTATATCCGTCTAATCAACATCTCTACAGTCTGATTTGTTTTAGTCATGATGGTTCCGAGCAGGAGAATATGCTGAAAGTGCTGATCCTGTCATGTATACTGAATGCTTGGCTATGCCTATGCTTTTCTTTGATGCCACCCACACCGTCCAAAAGAATCCAATCCAACCTGATTCAGATATTACAAGAAATTTCAATCATGCACAATATATAAATCTTGAAAAAAGAAAAAACTATCTACATATTTTTATCTGATGTCCGAGCACATCACATCATGTGAGAAAGAGACGAAATCTATTAGAAAGTTCCAATATTCCTAGATGAAAATAGAATAATAGGTAACCTAAAGAATACAAAAAGGCTACCTGTAACTATAACAACGGCAAAGATGGCTACAACTGTTGCAGAAGAAATGACAAATACAGATACCATTAACACCCCAACATAAATGGCCGCAACACAAGCAAAGAAAAGAGCCAAGAATCCTCCTGCCGCTGCTAAAGACATAAGAAGAGTAATGACAATGGCATTGATGGTAGCAGCAACAAAAAAAATCAGAAAGAACGTGAATCCTGTCAAGGCGAGAAGGGCAATTGTCCCAACCTGCAGTAATGATATCCTTATTTCAGAGAAGAATATAGAAATGCTGTAACAAGTTCCTACTTAAGCAAAATCCATCTACTTAATTTAATAGGTTATTTCCGGCATAACATGAACATACCTAAACCAGTGCAAACGGAGAGCAATGCTGCTTATGCAAATAAAGAAAATACATGGTACGAAAAGCATATGACAGGAAAAGATGCATAGACAAATGCTCATGTGTCTGCTCTTCATGTACTAGTAGCAGACAAATAATATCAATGTATTAACTACCCACCGACTACAACTCTATAGGCTGAAATCGATATCCAGAAAGGTAATTGAATTGTTGGTCTTGCAAATAAAGAGTCTCGATGAAGAATATATAGAGACATAATAATTGACTCCATTGAGGTTATCGAGGAATTCATTTGTGGAGAAGTGGAAAATTTTGATAGATAGATGGAAAATTCAAAGATTTTGAAATGCAGTTTCACTCAGGCTATTTGGTTAAGACTTTGTCAAAAGACTCATCCTCACAAAAGTAGAGCTTGCTAGTTTTATTTTGCATCATCTTCTCTTGGCCATGCAACAATACATAATCAATGACCCTGAACATTTTTTTCTTGAGAAAATGACAAAATAATTACCATAACAAATATATGTAGCTTGACATCCCCCAATACTATCAGTTACCAAGTCTATGTTTGAGGAAAAGTGAAGATAATCCACTGACCAACCAAGTAAGAAATTACCCAATACTATCAATTACCAGACTACATGAACAATTAAATAAAGATCATTCAGTGGCCAACCAAGACAGTAACTTTGTCCAAAATATTGTCGATGACATGCTCCAGATATCAGAATCGGTGAAAGACAATCAGGAAGAAGTATTGGAGACTCAACAGAATCACGACATGTATAAATGGCCAGGCCATTACTTCGATAAGATGATTAAACATGGGATAGAAGGGACCTGAAAGGCATATTAAGTTGCAAGTAATGTGAAATATGGATTTAGTCGAGGAAAGATGTTTATGCCATTTGCCAAGAGTGCAGTTAGCAAACAGTTTCGATATGAAAGGAAGATGGAGAGTTGAAGATACTGAACTTCCAAATCACAAAAACAGCAACGAGCTAAGCCCTTTTTTTAACTAGGGTATAATGACATTCCAGATGTTTGAAATAAATAAAATGACTGTCTTTATAAGTTTTATAAATGGTTAAGGAATTGGAGAGACTAGAGGCAGAAATATAATGGCCAGGTCGACTGACCAAGTATTAAACTAGATTAGAAACTTATCAAAGTTATGGGCCAATAACTCAATTAGAAGAAAAACATTTCATGGTTTCAGCTCTTTCTTTTCTGACCATCAGATCTTCCAGTAACCACAGCATATATAGCAGTGAGGGTGCTGCCGTGCTGTTTCTAGTTATTCGTCAACAAAACCAAACTTCATAAGAAAAGACAAAATCTAAGCACAAGAACTATATCGATCAGGACAAGGTGTAGCACCACAATAGTTTCATAGCATTTACATGTCAGGCACTTTAAACTAAAATGGTTTAGTACTACAAACCCAGCCCAATGATGAGCTTATTTACTAGGCAATGAAACCCCGTTGGCTTTCGGGAAACTATTATACAGGCCTCTGTGGACTTTGAGGTTGACCCATCTCTCAGCCTCGAAGATCACATTCAGAGTGTACATGAGCATTTGCGGTAGGCAAAGGATGCAGAATTTCAAATAAATGAACGAAGGTCAACATGCCACTTGACGAACACCCTTAGCGCCACATAAGAAACATATTGGCAAGCTGATTTTGCAGGACATGTTGAGACAAATTCCAATGGGGGACCTAATAACGTCGAATTCAAGGACTTTGGCAACGAACTTATCCTGCATTGGGAGTTTTACCTTGGTGAGTGACTTTACACACAGGATCTGAATTAGTGATAACCTCGATGATGAAGTCATACAACCCATGGAGATTGGTGAAGGGACAAAGACTCGGAGGAGGATTGAGATATAAATGAATAGAGTCCATAGCAGGATATTTGGAGACCACTCATTTTCTCATAAATGCTTATTATATATGTTCCTTTTATCCTAAATAAGTGGATGATAAATGACATGTAAGCAATAAATCATTTGCCAGTTAGAATTATGAATAAATTACACAATTTTCATTTATTCAAATTTTGTTGATGTTGGTGATGCAAGTCTAATAATAAATATTTTTTATTTATTTATAAAGGAAATGACAACACCAACTCATTATAAGTTGATAGGCGATCTTTTGCAAGCGGTGCAAGAACTCGACGGGTATTAATTGATATGTTTAACCATTAAATTTAAACAGTAAAAATTAAAATAAAGGTGAGTGTTAAAATTTTTGAGCAATTTTTCAGAAGTTAATCAAAGCTACAAATCTAGGCGACATTGGGAGCTCATGAAACTCGTGGCATTATACCAGGTCTGCGTCACTTGTCAAGATGCTGTTCTTCCTAAAGATAATAGTATTCCTCAAATTCCATGAATCCAGTAAAATAACAACATTAGAACATCCTGGGGTTCCATGGCTGAAAATATGACTCCAAAGCATTTGTCCTGTATTAGCAATAACTGTTGAGAAATCCAGTTTAAATCAGCCTGACAAATAGCTTTACAGGTTTTGACGGCTAACAAGTTTCCTAAAATAACTAACTTGATAGTTTCTGAATCTAGACAATTTCCCAGTTTCTTGAGTTACAACTTACAACTGAAAGGAAACCAAAATGGGCAACCTAGACGATTCGATCCTCCAGTTTTTGTCAAGGAACAACTTTATAATCAACCATCAATTTCATCATTCCCTTTCTAAACTCTGCCTATACTGCCAATGTAACACAAGGAAGAAATTTTCTCTCTGCTTTAAGTACCAGAAATTCAAAATATAACCTCTGGATTGGTGGTGCTGGGCATGTTCCATGTTCAAAGCTTAAGATAGAATATGGTTTCTTTTCTCTACATGAAAATGTTCAATAATTATCTCCAAAGGCCCCCTCTAAATGTTTTCCAAGTGTCCCAAATATGTCTTGCAATATTCTCTTGGTAAGTAAACTTACACAAGTTTTAAACTGTGAGACTAAATTCTCCCTTTAACTCATATTAATTCTAGGAACCATTTCACAAGAGAGAAGGAGGACTTGATTATTGTGGAAGAAGATTCAATTGAAAATGAGAAGGTTTTGCTAGCAGTACAATGTGAGAGTTCTTCAATTGGAAAGGAAGAAATAATGTTGCGGATATTAGATTAAGGCGTCTGAGCTTTACTATCTAAAGGTTAATTTTCTCTTTGATTAAGATTAAAATGTTCACTTCCGGTGTAGAACTTTATGTTCCTCCCCAAAATTACGTGCAGCCTAGTCTTTTATCTTTTTTGAATATTGGTATGGGCTCCTCTTGTGTAAACAACATAATTTGTGCATGATGATTTACTAATTCCACAGTGAATCATAATTGAGTCATCCGCTTGGACGTGCCTTAAAAGAAAAATATAATGTCCACAAGTTTTTCAAACATTTCACAAAATTATTTAAAATTAATTTCAGGAAAAAATCCTAGTTCTAAAGGAACAATAATTGGATAGTAATTTTCAACAATTGTGGAAAATATCCTGATGACAATGGGATTATTCATCAAAATTCTTGTGCAATACACCCAAACAAAATAGGGAAAATGCACACTTTCTTGAAGGGACAAGGGCTTTGCTATTCCTATGGACTTCCTAAATGCAATAAGGGTAAAGTCGTGTTAAAACCACCTGAGTGATTAATAGCAAGGGATCCCTTGTTCTTAAGTATGAAGCTTCTGTGAACGTACATAAAATGGTTAATCCCTCTTCTGGCTATATTTTATTCCTATCTTACACTCAAAAGTGTTTGGATGCATTATCTTTGTCTATTACCACAGATGCACCGAAAGCAAAACTTAAGACCACAAGCCCACTAAGTGAGTTTTTCAGATATCACCAACTAAAAATGTTACAAGTTTTCAATCCCATATATCAAAAGTTCTGTTTCAATGGAAGTCATTTGCTTTCTAGAGTATACATTGTTTCACCTAAATTTCTCTTATGGGGTTGGTGGGGTGGGGAAGAAACACTTTACAGATAATAAAATAGTAGCATGCCATACAAAGAAAACAAGAAAGGCACAAAAGGAGTTGCTGTGGCGAGGCCCCAAGGAGAACATGGTATACAGTTAAATACTTTGAGAAACAGAGGGATATGTTCAGACAGGGAGGATTCAGTTCCTCCTCCCAGTGACAAGAAATTTGTTTGGTTTTCCTACAAAGTTTACAACTTTCACTACATCCTAGACTCCACCAGTTGCAATCCATTTGGCTTAAAATCTGCCATTCCACTTGGAAAATGACTTTGCCTTTTGGTTTTGTTGAGTAGTAGTGAAGGAGTGCTCAGATATTGATTGATTTGGAGGACTAATGTTCAATAGTCCATGGGAGATTCGGGGTAGAGCAATGCCGTGATGGGTTTTGGAAATGTGAATGGTGCATTTGCACCATATAAGGTGATATATTTCATCATTATTTTTTAACTTCAGGTTTCAGACTCGATTTGTGCCCAAAGTTCCGTACGATTTTCATGAAATCACGAGCCTCGATTATCTCTATCCAAATGTGCTTTCTTCAACCATGGATTTACACTATCACAATCAAGATAATCCATGATAAGCTTATAGTGTGCTTGAGTTGGATACATGTGCTAATGAATCAAATAACCAAGTGCAATATGGTGAACACATAGAGACCACTATACTTAATCTTCGCCACAAGAGTTCCATCATATGACCTGTACCCGCTCCAAAACACTGAGGAGATGAGTATAATCAACTACAACAACTTGATCTAGTCATATCTGCACCATAGGCTATGATGGATTTCTTACCTAGTTTGCATTTACAATTTTTTTTCGACTAAAAACAATTTCCTTACTAGGATGTGATCAGCTATTAATAGTATGAACACATCAAACTTGTGTGATCTTTTAGTGATTAAATTAATCTTTGTAGGACAACAGTCCACTGACATGCGTAAATTTCTTGAAGAATTCAATATCTTAACAAAAAAAATCCCAATAAAACCATCATCTCCAAGTCAGAACCATATTACACTACAATTAAAAAAGAGCATCATAATAAATTAGCATATATAGTAAGCGCAGATAACCCAAATAGCAAGCATAAAATATTACAGTTTTGAGAACATAGAAATTTCATTTTATTATTAAAACAGCACACCATACTCACAGAGACAACGAGGAGTGAGCGAAGAGGACTTCCACGGCGAGCCCAGAGGAGAACGTGCTGACCGGTATTCTCCGAAGCTTGACGAAGCAGAGGAATATTCTCTGAAACAGAGATTTTAATTCTGTGAAGTAGAGGAGCTGAAGCATAACTTGAATTTGGATTCGGAAAGAAAATCGCGCTAATCAAACGGTTCAAAATGGTGAGAAGTGTGAGTTCTTGATCGGTCTGATCTGAAGTTTGTTTATGGCCTTCGGTATAGAAATCTGATTCTTCACCGTCGATCAAGACACTGTTTGGCCTGTCGGTAGCATCCGCCATTTTCACCCTCACTGTGCACTTCTGCGTGTGAAAGATCTATCCAATCCTTTAACGGTTAATCTCAAGAATGGAGATTGATTGAAAGACATTGGTTTGCATTTCGATACCCTGATTTTGATTAGCCGATTGTAGGGTCTTCACCACGTGTTCGACAAAATTTATTTCTACTTTTTCATTTTTGTCACCGTATTATTGGGTTATTAATTTCTTCTATATATTAAAAGTAGCTATGTAACGGAATTTCTTGTTTTTAACGGAAAAATTAACGGAATTTGTTGTTTTAACGGACTATGTAACGGAATTTCTTGTTTTAAACAGGCAGCTGCACCTTCTTTCAGTGTTTTTATCATAACTTTGTATTCCGATATCCGATTGAGGC